CACAATTAGAAAAGATCCCAGAAATAGTATTTCTCCTGATGACTGAGGTGCCATTCCCGTCTCTGCTACCTTCCTTACCCCATGGGAAATGATGGATATAAAAATGCAGAGAAAGTGAAAGTGTTATGGACCGTCAGGTCCTGGTGATTGTTAAACTCACACGCTCCCAAGCAAGGAACAAGCAGCAGAGGGTTTCTGGGCTAACCACGGGCTTCAGTGCCCCAGGCCACCCGCAGAGCCTGGCCTAGTGGGCTTTGCAGTGAGGCCAAGTGCATGGGTCTTCAGCCCTTAGCCAGACCCAGCCAGAGCAAGATGGACCAACTGCCCATCCCAGACATCCTTCCTGGCAAACAATGGTTGGCAGACTGGCGGGGGAAGTGGGGAAAACTCATAGGTTTGGTTGATTTGCTCGTTCGTTGGCAGCTGCCAAATTGTCTTCTTTTTTGCAGAACTGGGGCAGATGCCCGGCCGTGAGGCTGTCTGGCAGCTCCGCCCAACCCTTTGGTCTGCACCGCGGTTCTGACGCCCACAAGTCCCTCTCAAAAGAGTCAGAACTCCGGGAAGCCAAATGCATTCTGTTCAGCAAATATTCCATATAGAAATGTTTTTCAGTGCCAGACACAGAGGCGTCCACAGGGAAATAGAAAACGCACACCAGTCTGATTCTGCTAAAAGTAAAAATAATGATAAAACAATGATGTCGTCCTCCACGATGGTCGTGTGCAGGATGACGTCATCTGTCTTTCTTGTGGCCCCGACTCCGTGGCTGGCCAGGACTTTCATCGTCCTATTTTCTTTTGCCTGGAGCAAGATCGCTCCCAGACTCGATCTTTGCATCCTCAGGACTGCATCCTGCATTGGCTGTGGGACCCCACAGAGCCGCTGCAGCCCCTCCCGTCTCTGCAGCCTCCACACTTTGGCTTCCCATGGTTTAGATTCTCAGCATCACGTTTTGTGTCATTCCGTTCTCTTTGACCTTTTTCAATTGCCTACCCATGGACCAGACTTTTTGCTCGGTTTGCAACTCAAATCCAGAGGGGCTCTTGCTCTATCCCCCAGGGTCCTCCGCCACCCCACCCCCCAAGCCCAGCCCAGACCCCTGAGATGCCCCAGAAGGCTCCTCACAACCCCCACCATGCCCACTCCCCAGGTGCCTCCAGCTTCATGCCCCTTTCTTCTAAATTGTTCTAGGCCTGGGCGAGCTGGAAGAATGAACGAGTATCTTTTCCCTCGCTTTACAGATGGGAACATCCAGGGCTCACGGCTGCCTGGGGAGTGCACAGTTTCACTGC